TCCAAAAGATGGTGTGCAGCCTGCGGAATGTGCATTTTCTGAAGTGTCTTATGATGAGTTCATTTGGAGCGATCCTTCAAATATCTCTAAGTTGGTTGCATCAGAGGAGGCAGAGTTGGCGAGGAGGAAGTTCAAGCAGATGGTGGCTGATATACCCTCCTTTAGCCTTGGCATCACACAGGATGGTGCCTTGCAAGGAGGTGGTGATCACCATGTGGTTGATGTTGGTAATTGCAGCAACAATCCATTTACCCCTGTGCTTGGAGTTAGTAATGTGAATCAGGAAATCGCCAATGCTTCGAATGAACCGAGAGGGTGTGGTGAACCTGGAACTAACTTGCATACGGTGTGTAATGTGTTAATTAATGTTTTCGTGTATGCATGACTTTTCTATTATGAATGAGTGTAATAGACAATGTTTTTGATCACTTTTTCTTTGCATTTTAGAAAGGTGGGGAAGCATGTGGCCAAGGGTCTGCCAGTGCTGCCATAAGAAAACATGATACATCAGTAGTATGTGTATTATTTGAATTTTGATTATTAAATTAGATGAATGGGTGTGATGGTAGTTGGTATATGCACAGGTCAAGGAAAATGAAGAGGGCATGATGGATAATGTTTTGGGAGAGGCACTGCCTTTCAAAAGTGTGAGTGTAATAGTTAATTGGTTCAATTTTTTTGAGCATTCTGACTAATGTTTATTGTGTTAAAATGGTCATTTAGTATTGGAGTCCTAGTGAATATGTAATGAAACTGCTATGTTAATGATGTGTAGGAGCTGGAAAAGCGAAATGAACAGCTGAAACCCGCTCGGGTAATTAAACCAGCAGAATCTCTACGGTCTCCGTACGTGACAAGAGCAGTGGATTTGAATGATGGTTTGAGTACTATGGAAAAGAGATTGGGGAGATGGATCTTTAAAAACAGTAGTGCTCCAAGGTATGATGTAAACAACGGTGCGAATGATGTTTTTTGTGTCTAAATATGTAATAGCTAGATGTTTATTTGTTCAATGTTCTCTACATTTGCAGGGAGGAAGTTGTTTTTAAAAAGGGTAAGTTTTGGTTAAGTAGAGAAGATATTTGTAGTCTGGACATATTGAAACACATTTCAAAGAAGGTGTTGGATGCATGGTGTGTGATTTTAAATCTTCGTGAGAAGTACCGGAGCAATACCTCACCACTACGATTGTTTGCAAAAACACTTGATTGTGTAAGTGTTATGAC